TCTCTGGGGTCTAGAAGGCTATTAACAGAGCAGGAGATAAGGAATTCCAAATGATACGGAATGCACGTAAAAGGAAGTTTAAACATCGGATCTCTCTTTACAGGAAGTGTTTAGGAAGGTTGTGTAAGCCACATGCAGGGGGTTGTGACTAAAGTTACATAAACAAAGTGATTTAACTCCTAAATGGAAGATAATTGAGCGGTGAAACTGCAGGGGCATACTCTATACACCAAAATTGCTTCATTAAGCTAAAGTTGATGTGGTGCTTATAATGTCCCTTTAATATTCAGTTAGTATATTCCATTGTATTATCACCCATTTTAACTATTTTTATTTGGTTTTTTACACTGTCTACTTTAACATCTACTATGCTTTAAGTAAGAGACTGTTACCTGAATATTTTAAGTGGTGCACATGCAGACTTGCCAGAGTCACTGTCTGACATAGAGCCAACTGGAAAAAAGAGAGAATAAAACAGAACAACATTGTGTTTGAAACAGCGTTACTGCATATTCAACATTCTATATACTGTACCGATACCTGCATGGTATAACATTCATAAAGTGATTGTATACAGCTATGGGTCAGCAATTGGAATTTAAAATGAAGTCAATGTGAATTTCAAATTTAAGACCAAAGTAGCCAAAATGGAAGCATAATTATCTTGGAGATCCTTCCCAGTTCAGCTTCACTTAAAGAAGACCAACATGATCGTCTGGGATTGCTGTATCTCTTGTGCAGAGAGAAATTGCCGGCATTTTGGTTCTGGATTGCCCTTATAGGTGGGATCAATCTGATATTCAACGGTATAGGTTCATAGTATTCATCCACAAAGTGCAGCTTAGTTATAGGGGCCCACGAGTGTAGCCCAAGTCAATTCACAGAGCATCCAAAATAGATGTTTCGGGACCCCTGTCTCTAATGCGATAAGCATTGTGAGGCACAGGTGCCACTTGCAATTCGCATTTGCACCTGAGCTGTACATTGGAGGAGGCAATCAGTGTTCTGACTTACATGCAGCAGGGGATTACTTAACTTTTTTTAGGGACTTCAGTCACCTACTCTAAACTATTTTTGCATTACATCAAAATCAACTAGAATGTATATAAAAAAAGAATAAAGAAAACATGTAAATATAAAGACAGATCACCACAATCACAGAAATATGTGAGAAGGCAATAACTGCTTTATAAGTAGCCTACCTCAGAGCTACAGTAGGGGGTAACACAAGAAAACATACAGAAGAAATAGCGGAGATCCTTGAAACAAGGGGATCCCTAAGGTAGCTAAAAACACAAACACAAACACTCCATCCCTTAATCTATTGATCGTTAACTATAAAGGGAGGGTGCAAAGACATGCAGCCCTCCCACTGTTAACATAATTGACAGAGGGCTAAATGGTGAGAAAATGTTACATGTCATGTAAGAATGTCTAAATGTATCACGAAGAAAGAACTATATAATCTAGTTCTTCTTATATGAGCTTGTGACTGAAGTAGGACAGGATGGCACTTGGTACAGTCCATCGTCGGATATACTGAAAGTATGTATACCCAAAGTCATAAGTATATTACAGACATGTATTTCACCATGTAGCCTACTGACCTATATATCTAATGTATCTTAGAATGAGTGCAAATCATCATACACTTAGCTTTACCCCATTGTCGAGCCATCAGATCCGTTGCATTGGGACATATGATGCAGGTTGGCATAAAATGCTGCTAATTTTAGGCAGATACTGGCCGATCCTGACATCCGATACTCACATTAAATCAGTGATTTCCCCATTTCCCTCCGTCACGGCACGCAGAGGGAAGAACTTTAAGGATCTTTTGGTACCCAGCCACTTTGGCCAAACAAATGAGCATTCTAAATCCTATTTACCTAAGGGCACTTACAGATGTGGTCACTGTACTGCCTGTCAGTACATAGGTAAAGACACAAAGATGTTCTCTGACAGCTCGAATTCCGACTCCCACTATGTACGTTCTTTTTTTAATTGCCGTGCAGAGGGTGTCATCTACCTTTTGACATGTTCCTGTGGTATTAAGTATGTCGGAAAGACATTCCGCCCTTTTAAGTTCCGCATTAGGGAACATGTCAATTCGGTTAGAAGTAAATTGGAAACTCCAGTTTCAAGGCACTTAAAGATATTTCATGCCAATTCATCCAGTAGGATACGCTTCATGGGTATAGAACTTATAACCCAAACACAGCGTAAAGGCGATTGGGACCGTTGGCTCAAACAAATTGAAAACGTTGTCTCCACAGTGATCAAACGAAGGTTTTTCGTTTTCCTCATTTTTGTAGACTTTTGGGTATTCTCCATCCACAGATTTTATATATTCATCTGAATGGGTACTTATAACCAATATGATTCTCTCGTAAGTGTTGGAGGATGGGTGCTGCAAACTTCAATTTTTAATTGTAAAGATAAAGCTAAGTGTATGATGATTTGCACTCATTCTAAGATACATTAGATATATAGGTCAGTAGGCTACATGGTGAAATACATGTCTGTAATATACTTATGACTTTGGGTATACATACTTTCAGTATATACGACGATGGACTGTACTAAGTGCCATCCTGTCCTACTTCAGTCACAAGCTCATATAAGAAGAATTAGATTATATAGTTCTTTCTTCATGATACATTTAGACATTCTTACATGACATGTAACATTTTCTCACCATTTAGCCTTCTGTCAATTATGTTAACAGTGGGAGTGCTGCATGTCTTTGCACCCTCCCTTTATAGTTAACGATCAATAGATTTAGGGATGGAGTGTTTGTGTTTGTATGTCCCTCTCTTCCCACCCCCCATTCGCCCCCCTCTTCCCAGCATTGTATATGCTTGATGTTTAAATAAATAATCGATTGACTGTTTACAGTCAATTTGCTGTGGGATACAATAATGGACTTTTAGGGGCAGGGCGTTCGTAGGTGTACCAACCCCTTTTCCTCCCACCCCTTTAATGACTGATCTAGGCCCCATCCAACGAGACTCCGATACGAACAATGACGCAGGTGAAGAGGAGTGGTGACTGAATGCCAGTCACCTACTTCCCCCCCCTCCACTCATATGAGTATAAGTCTCTCTCCCCACACCTCTTTTTATGATTTATTTAGGCATCACCCAATGAGACCCGGATATGCGCGATGACGTAGGTGAGGAGGAGTGGCAGCTTCATGTCGGCCATCCACTCCCCTCTCCACACACCGGACCAGCTGGAGGGATTTCCCCTTGATTATTAAGGTATTTAACCGGCTTTAGTAGGACCCACTCTCATAATAGCTCCTTATGACGGCATGATTATACGCTGAAACGCGCGTCGAGCGCTTTGCTTAATTTATTTTATTTATGTGTTTTCCTTTTCACTAGGTAGCACTTAGGTAGTTAGTATGATTTATTGAGTTAGTTAGTATATTTAGCCTTACTTCTTTGATATTCTAAGGGACTTTTTTCAGGCAGAGATTTCTGTGGTCCAGAGGGGCTCCTCCGGACGTAGGGTTTGTCCATATAGGGACTGCCCTAGTGCTTTCTCTTTTTTTCCCTATATTTTTTAGGTATAGGCTCCTCTGACCTGCCTGTCTTGTTATTGGGGGACTTATATACTATATTTCTTGTGACACTGTACAGCTGAGGTGCCCCTTTATCCTATTAGGGACCCCTTTCTGCTGTCCTTTTGTATTACAGGAGTGGACATTTACAGTTTACATATGGGGGCTCTCAACTTACCCCCTTCTATTTCTTTCTCCACTTATTTGTTATTCTCCCCTTTTGTCTACTTATCATTGGCTACTATACTACTTTATTTCTGTGTTCAGTAGCTACTTTAGGGATCCCCTTGTTTCAAGGGTCTCCGCTATTTCTTTAGAATGTATATAAGAATTTTCAATACATTATTATCACAGTCTTCCTGAATTTTCCCCTCTCTGCTTTGTGCACCGCACAAAGGTACAAATTTGGTAAAATAATTCTTTTAACTATTTTTATTTAGTAAACATAAGAATACTTTTGCGCACCAACACCGTTTCTAAAATACAGTTTGTCTGCAATTTTAATTTTTCTATCACTTTAATTCTGTATTTCTATGAGATTTCTGTTAGTTTATTTCTTAAAATATGATAATAATTACAACTGCCGTATGTTGAACTAGATAGCTAATTAGAGCTCCTAAAGAACATGAATTAAATATAATTAGTAGCTATAAGCTCTATCACCTAATATGCTAGTCAAGGACACTAAAGGTTATGCATAATGAAGGCATTTTACCATTATTGTGATAAGTGTTCTTGTTAGTTCTAGGTTGATCATTTATTATTCTGCCTGGTTTGTTGGGTAGAAGTTCTTTCATGATAGTTCCCAAAGGATCTGACTTAATTGGAGAGGGTCTCGGTTGACTTTGAAGGATGTCTTTGTCGGAAATGTTATTGGTTGAAACGGAGGATTCTGCTTTGGCAATACCATTTAGCCTGGATGATGTACTTTGGTGGTCACTCTTTGGCTCATTCTCACTTTTTGTGGTGTTAAGTCTACTCTTCAGTTCCACTTTATTTTGTTCAACTTGAGTCCTGAGACTAGGAAGTCGAAAAGAACCTTGACTGTGGATTCCTACGTAATCTCTTCTTCTCCATGATGGAACAGAAACAGTTTTATCTTGAATAATGACTGATAAACCATTGGAATGAGATGTTTCTTCTTCTTGTCTTTTTCCAAATTTAGTTTTCTGAGACTGTACTTTGTAGAGGAAGCTATCAGGAGACCATCTTTGAGGAGGACATGGATTTGGAAATTTTGGTGGAACCCCAACTGATGTGTGGGATCCTGCATTGTCAAGTTGTGGGAGCTTTTCTATCGCTCTGTCTCCCTTTCCCAGGTCAGTGGCAAGATTGAAAGTGTTTGGATATTTTCGACGCAATTCATTGTAGAATCCATCCAAACCTTTTATGTTATTTCCAGAGACATCTGTCAACATGATTACTTCTGTGGGTCACCAGTCTTGCTTTCTTCTTATGTCTAGGCTGCATTATACAACTCTTTTTTATTTTTAATCTGGAAAAGGGAAGAGATGAAAAACAATGAGAAGAGTGATACCCACAAGCACTCCTACTGTCTGCATTTCTTTGCATGCCTTGCTTGAGTGCAAAATATACGTAAAGTTTGGTATTATTAGTCAACGAGAAAGTTAAAAGAACACTCCAAGCACCAGAACCATTAAAGCCTGCTGTGGTGGTTATGGCACCGAGAGTGCTTTAGAGCCATCATACAGTAAGATGTGAAAATGTTATCGGACAATTCACGTGAATTTCACTAGGCGCCTGTGATGTGTCCAGAGCATCCATTCGTCTTCAGCAGGAAAAGCCAGAATTCTCTTTAGAGCAAAGCAGGACCGGTGCAGAAACACTCACTTGCCGAGCGTGCTCAGCTGACGTTCTCAGTCAATGAGCGCGGTTCCTGCTTTGATCTAAAGAGATCTGTTTTTTACTGTTAGAGAAGTCCTGATGTGGTGCAGAGAGCCTGGTGGGATCCAGAAAGTTGTTAAACAATACTAAAAAGATTTCACATCTTACCGTGAGATAATGCCAGGGCAGTCGTGGAACCGTAATCACTACGGTAGGCTGTAGCGGTAATGATGCTTTGTATATTCTTTGTGACATGGTATTTGTCTTTTAAATTTTGCTAGTTACTAATAACTCCTAGAACACCAAGTTTCAAAAGCGGCGATGATGGGCCACATACATTTACGAAAGTCATCACATGTGGCCACCATCTCTGTCACGCTCTCATGTCTTATGTTCCACCATACATATTGCAACAACAATATCGCATTGAGGGTATACCATATAACTCAAAAGTACACAAAGTGCAAACCTAAATAGGCACTCCCCTAAATACTTTAAATAGTCATATATATATTTACAAAAATCAGGATGCACAATGCAATAGCTTCATAAAATTAAATACTTTATTCAAGGATGCTTAATAAAAAACATATTATATATACAAAGTTACCAAAAACTAAGAAACAGTGTATAAAGGCTAAGACACATATAGAGGACAGGATACTAGCCACAAAACCCCCAACGTTTTGGCACCTCCCTGACTGCCGAGAGAGAGAGAGAGAGAAACCAGAACCAGACTGGAACACTATGGTGAGGAAAGAACGGCAGAGGCTATCATTGAAATAAAGACAGATACTAACATAGAGAGGCTAGCATGGAAATAGATACGGTGTCTGGCACCGAATTTCGAGGAAAAGATAGTATTGAAATAGAGACAGAGGCTAACATTGAAATAAAGACAGACACTGGTATTGGAACTTTCAGCAAACAAAGATTGTCCAAACCTTATCTGTAGGTATAAAAATATAGCAGTTATAACTTCTACATTATCAGATGAACTCAGCTCAGAAGGACGATATGAACCCTACCAAGACAACTAAATGTCAAACCTTTGTAAATGTTTTTACAGATTACCATCAGACGGCACTCTGGGACTCCTGGCGCCAAAACCAACACAACACACTGTGCACTCATGATGGTTTCTTAATAAAAAGTTTGTTTCTACTTTTCGGATCTAAATTTCGAATTGGTCCATTGAGTGATATACCAAATAAATTGACTCAGTCATATCAATATGCATGTATGTTTTCTCTTACTTCATCATTTCCTGGCAAAGTTAAACCATGAATATAAAATAGGTGCTATTCTGGGTGCAAAATGTTAAATATTTAATGACGTATTTGTTCTTATTTAACACTTTGTCCCAGAATAGCAGTTTTTGGCCTTGATAAGTCTCCTGTTATAATGAATACAAAATCAAGAAACATGCAAGTTATCCTTAAAGCATCAGAATGTTTATGAATCTTTATGAAATACTCAGATTGACTGTGTTGGAATGTCACTGAAATTTCAACCCAATTCAATATACATAAAATTGAGTAGCCCTCACTAAAATTTTCATCCATGGTGCCTCCAGACCAGGGTTGACGATTCCCAACGTATCAATAATCTCGATGTAACTTTCTTCATGACTATTAAAATTCCAACCCAGTGAAAAGATATACTGAGACAAAGTAAGGACTACTTTGTCTCAGTGTTTTTCCTTTAGCTGACAAAGCTTTAGACCAGGCTGAGCTACCGCCGTCAAGCTTGTCATTTCCCCTAGCCGAAATTAAACTCTTTCCATGGAGGATCTAATGGTCTCTCCATAGACTTCAATGCTGTACTGTCATGCATGCGCAAGAGTACAGCACTCACATCAGCTGAAGTGGAGCAGACGGAAGAGGATGGCGGTGACAGGTGGTTCAGGTAAGTAAAACTCAAGTATGCCTGTCCCCCCTTCCCACCCTCCGGCCACCGGACCCTATAGTTAACAATATACATCCCCTATAGTTAACATATATATTCCCTATAGTTAACAAATACATATTTGTAAAATGTGAAAAATATTAAATAAATGTAGAAATCCACATATCTTTATCACTGAACAGAGCGCCTCCACCTTAGCTCCCTGTCAATCCTTGTTATAAGCTCTGTCCTCTCTTATAAGCATCCAGACAAGAGGAGAAATTAAACAATGTTTCTGTATCGGCTTCTCCAATACTTATGTTCTCTGATTGTGCTTAGATGAAACTGGATTGTGACGTCAATTGCTAATCTTTAATAAAAATTTAAAAGACAAGGAAGCATGACGTGCAAAAAATAGGTTAACACATTTTATAGGTGATTTTCTATGTAGAATTCAATGGTGTAGTTTCCAGAGCACATTTAAAAAATATTGCAATTGGCCAGGGACGTCAGTTCCACTAATTAATGAAATGAGGGCCGAGCTTCAAGAAAATCATGTAACGGACCACTGGATGGCACCATTATATAACACCGTCCCTTCTTTTGAAAAAGTGTGGATGCATCTTTATAGTTAGGAAGCATGATTTCAATGTAAGATCCCCATCGCGGTGGGTATCCCGGTCCCCTCTTCATTCCCCTTCCCTATTCATCCTAGTTTATCATTTAAATATTAGTTAAAACTAATATGAGCCACCGGCACAGTCAAGATGGCACATGATATTGTGAGATACTACTTTGCCCACTTAGATTGGCTCATGTAATTGTTTATTACAGATTACATTTGATGCATACACTGCCTCTTTGGCTCATATTAAAAATAATGAATTTCTTTTTAAAAATGTATTTTCACGGAGGGGGAGGGCAGTCAGGGACGACTGCCTCTAACTGAGAGCAGGGCAAGGGTGGCATAGATGCGACCGTGCCACCATTGTCTGTCTGATGCCAGCCTGCCGTGACTGCTGACGTTTTGACTGTGAAAGGCCTTCATCGTCTATCTTGAAAGCCTGTTCCTATTTGGTTAGCTGCCAAAGGTGGAGTTACACATCTGGCAGCTAAGGGGTTAATTTCTGTATGTGCAAAGCTTCACATCAAATTGTGTACATACAGATTCCAGGCGCCATGACCACTTCAAATTACTGTAGTGGTTATGATGCTTGAATTAACCCTCTAGAGCAGGCTTCCCCAAACTCCGGCCCTCCAGATGTTGCTAAACTACAACTCTCATGATTCTATGAATGAAATAGATAGGCTGAGAATCATAGGAGTTGTAGTTCAGCAACATCTGGAGGGCCGGAAGTTTTGGGAAGCCTGCTCTAGAGCACTAAAATTAAAACACTAACCCACAAACCTTGTTAACAAACCAGAACTACGTTCAGGACAACTTAGCCAAAGCATTGCATGCAACATTTAAAATACAGTCACAAAACAAACACAAAAACCACTTATATTCACCAAACAGCAAGATTTATGATGACTTGAAAACTCACTAACAAAATTCTTTACAATGCTACTGTTTTATCCTCAATTTCGCAAGGCAGATCTTCAGTTAAATTGAAATATCTGTTAATAAACATCTAAGTGTAAACTTACAATCAGACCATAAAAATATATACAAGGTTATTCACCAAAGTGTGAATTATCAGGAATTCAGGAAGTGATTAATATTGTTCATTTCAGCTATTTTCATCTAATATCTAAAATTCTCTTAGAATTTCTGACAGTTTAGGCTAAAGTTTCAAGTTACCACGGGTGTTGCAAAACTTGACAACCACTGTATTCATTGTTTTTTGTTACCTACCTGTCAAGCTGTTTCTTCGTTGATTGGTAACAAAAATGTACCTGTTGGCATTTTTACAAATTTTGTCTTTTTTTTGCTGTTAAGTGACAGCTTTTTCTCACGGTGTATTGCCAGATTGTTAAAGGGGCTAATTTTCTCCCTATTCCAATCCTTTTAGTGTTCGATTCCATCCTATGTTCATGTTTCTGTTTTCAGGTGTTAAATGCCAGTGGGTGTGATAGCCAGTTATGGGGTGTGATTGTGTTGTACTCTGCTGTCATGGTTGCAAATAGTGGACAAAATGTTTCCAAAGTAAGCTTCACACTGCTAAATGTAGGACTCTACATAGTAGAAAGTTTAATAACATGGAACTCTAACACAGTATAACTTCATGGTAGATACAAAAAAAAATAATAATAATAAATCCATCTAATCTGCCCATGATGAGATTCTGGACTTTTTTTAAACCTCTTATTCTTTATACATCCCAAACATTCTTACATTCCTTTATTGTGTTAGCCTTCATTACTTCCACTGGAAGGCTGATACAGGTGTTTACTACTCTTTTTGGAAAATAATTCGAAATTGTATTTTTTTATTTTATTTATTTATCAAAAAAAGAATGACGGGTTTTTATCTCAAAATTTGAGAATTTAATACATACCAGTGATGCACAACTCTCAGTTTAGCTAAAAAGGCTTACTCTACACACCATAACCACTACAGCCTACTGTAGAGCGTAATGTGCCAGGAGTTCCCTAGCGCCAGCCCATTGTCAAGAGTATATTCTTTTACAAACAGTTTCACACTTATTTGGGTCCCCTGGGGGCTGCAATCCCCCTCGCCGATATGGCTAAACCAGAAGTTCTCCTTTGTATTAATTTTTCCAAATGCATGGAATTCATTGACTAAAGGAGTATTAGCTGAAACTCTCCAAAGATTGACAGAATTGCTATCACTAATGTGGAAGTAGTGATCTGGAGAAAGAGTCCAGACTGCAAGGACAAACTGGTCGACATTAGTGGGTTGTAGTGGTTATTGTACCTAGGATGCTCATGTGTCTCAAAATGTCTTTTGGACAATGTGGGGTCAAAGCTCATCTGGAGCATGTATGTAGTATGTGCTGTGTAACTGGGATTTATCAGTGATGTCACATTAATGTGCGCATGTTGAGGGAAAATTACCCAGCCAAGCACCCAGAAATGTGTTAAACATTGCAAAGAATATCTGTACATGGCCGCCACTGTTTCGCTAACCTATGGCATTATTCCAGACACTAAACGCTCAACGCACAACATTCAATATCATCCATTTTCATACATGTGAGAAAGAACATTTGGGCACATTTGAATTACATCCAAATAAAAACAGAATTCTGTTCTTTAACCCCTTTAAGGACCAAACTTCTGGAATAAAAGGGAATCATGACATGTCACACATGTCATGTGTCCTGTGATGCTTTTGTGTAATGTCTCTTTAATTGGAACTCAACTGCAGAAACAATAAGTTTCACCTCCTTTATTTTATTGAAGTGAACAAAGTAGACTGTATCTTTAAATACACATGCAAGGAAAAAATGCAATGCTTATTTGTCAACAGAGAGTTTAGAGAAATTAAATACTATAATAATTGATATGACTTGCTTTCCTTGACAAGAGATTTACTTAACTTAGAAGCACTCTGGCACTGGAAGGGTTAATTCACCCAATGGAGGAAAAGGAAGGAGTCTCTTTTAACAAACTGCAGTTTAGTAGTGAGAGAAAGGAAGTCCGTTTGTCCAAGCCGAGGTCTGAGAGAGGAGAAGGTAGAAATCCGTTTACAAGCCGAGGTCTGAGGGATGAGAAGGTAGAAATCCGTTTACAAGCCGAGGTCTGAGGGATGAGAAGGTAGAAATCCGTTTACAAGCCGAGGTCTGAGGGATGAAAAGGTAGAAATCCGTTTACAACCCGAGGTCTGAGAGAGGAGCCGGTAGCATCGAGTGGGGCAGCTGATCTTACTGCCGCACCTGAGTGAATAATCCAGCCCTTTAAATCTGGCGCGGTCTTCCTAAGTATCGTGGAAAGACCGCGTCAGAAAAAAGGGCGGAGCTAAGCGCCGTGAACCCGGAAGTGGGTTCCGGCGGCAGCATGAATGTTAGGTATACCTGACAGTACCCCCTTCTCATGGGGCATCCTCTGGGTGCACTTATTTCGGTTTAGAGGGGTAGCGTTTGTGAAAAGCATCAACTAATCTCTTTGCATGAACATTAGATGAATCTTCCCAGGTATCTTCATCAACTCCATAACCTTTCCATCTGATAAGGTATTGTAAAGAGCCACGGTGGATACGAGAATCCAAAATCTTATGAATTTCATATTCTTCTTCACCTTGGACGATGATAGGTTCAGGAGTTGTTACTATTTCTCTATGGAAAGGATCAGGGATGTGTGGTTTAAGCAAAGAGACATGGAATACTGGATGAAGTTTAAAACTTGGAGGAAGTTTTAATTTAACAACGTTATCATTGATGATTGTAGTTATTTGAAAAGGACCAAGAAAAAGTGAACTCAATTTCTTTGAAGGACGGTTTGTGGTAATATTTTTTGAAGAGAGCCAGACAAGATCCCCCACTTTATAAGGAGGGGGAATTCTTCTTTTATGGTCAAAAAACTTTTTCTGGTAGTTTTGGGCGAGTTGAAGATTCTCCCGTAATTTAAGAAATAGAGAAGACATAAATTCATTTTTTGAAGTAACCGTGGGATTGGATGAAGAATTAGATGGGATGGGAAATGAGGACGGATGAAATCCATAGTTGGAGAAAAAAGGAGTCATTTTCGTACTAGAATGAATGGTATTATTGTAAGAAAATTCAGCCATAGGTAACCAAGTGGTCCAGTCATCTTGCAGGTATGAACAATAACATCGGAGATATTGTTCCAAACATTGATTAACTCTCTCTGTTTGCCCATTAGTCTGGGGATGATAGGCAGAAGAGAGTTTGCGTTGAATTTGAAGAGAGAGACACATCTCTTTCCAGAATTTGGAGGTAAATTGTGTCCCCCTATCAGAAATAATTTCTTCTGGAAGACCATGAAGCTTTACAATATTATCAATAAAGACTTTGGACAATTCTACGGAGGAGGGTAATTTTTTTAAAGAGATGAAATGGGACATTTTAGTGAAGCGGTCCACAACAACAAGAATAGTGGTGAACTGTCGGGATGGAGGAAGGTCAACAAGAAAATCCATAGAAATGGATTGCCAAGGTTTTTCTGGAATAGGTAAGTTAAGTAGTAATCCAAAAGGTTGATTATGTTCAGATTTGGACCTTTGACAGATAGGACAAGTTTTGACATATAATTCAATGGTTCTATCTTGGCGAGGCCACCAATAATATCGTGAAGTTAGTTCAAGAGTTTTCTTTATTCCAGGATGTCCAGCTAGGGGTGAATCATGAACCATTTTGAGTAATTTGTTCCTAAGAATGGGAGGAATATAAATCCTATTTTTAAAGTAAAATATACCATCCTTTTTTGTTAAATTAGGTGTTTTGGGAAGTTCAAGATCCTTTTGATTCAAGTTCCTTAAGTCATCCTGAAGAGAAGAGAGGATCCCTATTATTTTGTTAGGAGGATAAACATCAATAGAAGTTTTAGAAGGAATTCGAGAAAGAGCGTCAGCCTTTTTATTTCTAGTTCCAGGTCTGTATATTAATTGGAAGTTAAACCGGTTAAAAAATAGGTTCCATCTAACTTGTCTAGCCGTAAGGGTTTTATTAGTATAAAGATATTCAAGATTTTTATGGTCTGTATAGACTATGATAGGTTGTTTTGTATCTTCTAATAGATGGCGCCAATTTTCAAAGGCAGCTTTAACACTTAATAATTCCTTTTCACCAATAGGATAATTTTTTTCAGCAGAGCTCAAGGATCTTGAAAAGAATGCGACTGGATGAAGTGGATCTTGAGGAGTCTTTTGCTGAGAAAGAACTGCTCCGATAGCTGAATCTGATGCATCGACTTCTAGGACATACAAGAATGTTGGATTAGGTAGCTGTAGAATAGGTGCAGTTGTAAATCTTTTTTTTAAACTATCGAAGGCAGCTTGTGCATCTTTATTCCATTTGAAAGGACGTTTAGTACTGTTAAGGTGGTTAAGTGGATGTGATACCTCTGAGTAGTTTCTAATGAATTTTCTATAGAAGTTTGCAAATCCAAGAAATCGTTGCAATTCTTTTGTAGTAGTAGGAACGGGCCAGTTAATAATACATTCGATTTTAGAGTTATCCATTTTCAGAGAATGAGGTGAAATAATGTATCCAAGAAAGGAGAGTTCAGTAACTTCAAAAAGACATTTCTCTGGTTTAGCGTATAATTTGTGAGTTCTCAATCTAGATAGAACCCATCTTACATGCTTCCTATGCTCATCCAAATTGTTAGAATATATTAGAATATCATCTAAGTAGATAATAACACAAACATCCAAAAGATCTCTAAAGATATCATTTATAAAATGTTGGAATGTTGCAGGGGCATTACAAAGCCCAAAAGGCATCACTAGATATTCGTAGAGACCATATCTAGTCCGGAAGGCGGTCTTCCATTCATCATCCTGTTTTATTCTGATGAGGTTATATGCGCCTCGGAGGTCGAGTTTAGTGAATATAGTTGCGGTTCTTAACCTTTCAATTAATTCATTTATTAGTGGAAGAGGATAACGATTTTTTATGGTTATTTTATTTAAGGCTCTGTAATCTATAATGGGTCGGATGGTTTGGTCCTTATTCCTCACAAAAATATACTAGAGGCAGCCGGTGAAGTCGAGGGTCTGATGAATCCTTTACGTAAATTTTCATTAAGATATTCTTTTAAGGTCTGTAATTCCTTTTCAGAAAGTGGATAAATGTGTCCATAAGGAATGGGAGCACCAGGTATTAGATCTATTGGGCAATCATATGCTCGATGAGGAGGAAGTGTTTCCGCTTCTTTTTTACAAAAGACATCTGAAAAGTCAGAGTAGAATGGAGGTATAATTGATTCCTGAGTAGTTTGGAGAATAGGAATATGTTGGAAGCAGGTTTTTTTGCAAAAGTCAGAAGGAAAAGAAATGGAAAAGGGTGACCATTTAATTAAAGGATCATGAGTTTTAACCAATTAATTCCTAGAATGACGGGATAAAGTGGAGATTTAATAACATCAAATGTAAGGAATTCTGTATGTACGTTATTGGTAATCATTCTTAGAGGAATTGTCTCATCTTTTATGGGTCCTGAGGATATAAATGAACCATCAATAACTCTGATTGGAATAAAATTGGTTTTTCGAACACACGGAATTTTATTCTTTGCAACAAAAGAAAAATCAAGGAAGGTTCCATTAGCACCAGAATCAATAATGGCT